GACCTCTGATTAAACATAAGCTCACACATTCTTCCTGTTCCACTCTCTATGATGGTTTGGGAAAACTAGAACAGGCAAGAGGTCAAACAGGTTGCCAGCAGTTCTCAGAATATATCTTAGACATACAGCTTCACAGACATGTCTGGAGGCAGCAGGCTCTCCATACCCTCCAAATAATTATTTAAATTATTTAAATAATTAAATAAGCATTACCTGTGGGATGAGCAGAATAATCTACTCTCTAGGGATGTAACTGGTTTTAGTAATCTTAGGCCAAAGCTGGTAAAATCTAAGCTTCACAGGTGGAAATACGAACACTAGCTAGGAACTGGATGATAACAAAGAATTATTGCCAATATTTTACGTGTGCTAATGGCATTATGGCTACATATTTTTTGAAGACTTTATTTTTTAAAGATGTACTAAAATGCGATGTCTGGGTTTGCTTTAAAATCATGGGGAAGAGAGGGTTGGGGATTAGAGATGAAACAAGATTGGTCATGAGTTGATGATTGGTGACACGCATGTTGAAGGGTGGTGGATGCATGGAATTTGTCATGTAAGATTGTTACTTGTGTATGCATTTAAAATTATTGATTAAAAAATCTTTAAAAGCTTTTTTGAAAAAGCTTCACTTTGTGTGCGCTTATATTTACCCAAACGGATAATTAATAGAGTCTCCAAATAAAATTCAAGGGACTGGATTACTAGTTTTTAACCTAAAGGAACAGATAGAAAGGAGGGCAGCAGTAAGGAAGGAGTGGTCTTGGGGCAAGCTGATGGGCAGCCACCCTACAGAAGTCTTGATCTAGCAGCCCTCCCTGGCAGCCAGTCAGTCACCAAGTGTTACAACAGGAGCAGTCCCTGTAAAAATAACACAAGGGTTAGTCAGATTCACCTTTGAGACATCCGCGTTCATATTCGCCTCTGTCCACACATCAGAGGCATCGGAGCTCAACATGGTAGGCTTAACAGCGATGGTGGGCTTGGAGTAAGGTGAGCTGTTCACACCTTCATCTTCCAGGCGGCAGTACTCAGGCCTAGGTGACGGGCGAGGAGCGGGGTGCAGGCTGCCTGCTCTGGGCTGGTGATGGCCAGGTGACAACTGGTGGTCGCTCCGCAGGCAGAAGCAGTTTTTACAGGACCCGGGCTTCCAGATGTGCTCCACAAAGTCACTGCACGCAGACATTTTTGGGCTCTCGGGGTTCAGTCGGATGGCCTGGTACATCTTAGGTAGACAGTGTGCTTGTTCATCTTGTACCTGGCTCTCTGGTGTGGTCTTGTGGGAGGAAGATGTAGGTCACAGAGAGGCTTCCTGAAAGGACAGAACACTTGCCTGATCAGAGCACTCGCTGCCAGAAGGCACACGCATTATCAATTAGAGTCTGATTATTTGGGGAGTAGAAGGAGGAGGAAGGAGGAAAAAGGGAGAAAAAGGTAAAGATTAATGTTCCATTTATTCTGAGGCCTTCGCCCATTTCTCATAAGGCTTTTAGTCATTCTCTCATGGTGTGGCCTTATCAGAAGCTGTAAAAACTAAATACAACTGTTATGTGAGTAGAGAGCATAAAAGACATTTCAGTCCCTGAAAATCCTGAGCACTGGGAGGTTTGGAGGCAGCTAACAGGAAGAAATTGCAAAGATGAGAAGCCTTATCTCATCCATGCATTCCCTGCCACAAGCGGTCTTGAGCTAGGGACTCTGTCCCAGAGAAACAAGAACTAAAGAGTAATATAGCAAATAAAAGTGACGGCTTCTGGAGGAGAAGCCACAATTTTTAACGAAGAACTATGGTGGGGGGTTGGGAGGAAGGCAAGCCTGGGCCCTGAAATTAGCACTGTAATGCATTCTTTTGACCAGGCAGATGATGAAGGGGGTGAGAAAAGTGAGAGATGCCGTGCTGGCCTGCCTCCCAGGGGACCCTTGTCAGGAGGTCTGGCATCCTGGGAATTTGCCTCCCTCCCCCTGCTTCATATACATCATTCAACCCAGTGCTCAGTGAGGTCAGCAAAGCTGGGGCTTCAGGCCAAGGGGAAAACAGAAAGGGAAATGCAGGAGCGCCACATTGCTGTGGCCTAGGGGTGGCAGGCTAGGGTACAAGAGAGGATCACGGAGTTATTTTCCTTATGATAACCCTAGAAGTAACGCAGTCAGCTGGAGGAAAGAGCTGCCTCTGAGAGTAAAACCGAAAGCAGAGTTTTCATCCTGGAACTTAGTAAATTCACCAATGAAACCAAAGAACACCTTGTCAGGTAGCTTCTTTCATCCCCCTTATACGGATGGGAAAATAATAGCGACCGCATAAACTCAGACCTGCCCATAGACACAGAGAGTTTGGTGTTTCTGGAAAGAGAAGTCAATGTGGCTGGTAGCAACTCACCGCACAGTGATTCATTATACTGAGCCCTCTGCCACTATCAGTTTGCTGCTCTTTGCTCTTCTTTCCTTATTTAAATAACCTGGCTTCCTTATAAGGAGAATGTTCCCAAGAAAAAGGTCCGTAAGAACCTAAGGTGAAAAGATTCTCATTAAATAGGGAGCATTTTGCCCTAGGGTTTGCTCTCCACTTTCTTCCCGTGAGAACTTACTTTGAGGTTGATACTCTCTAAACTATCAACAGGACTAACCAGGTAGAATGAGCCAGGTGCCCCAAAGACCATTCCAGAATCTTTGTGGCAAGTGCTATCTTTCGGATCTCCCACATTCACAGATAGGGGTGCTTATTCAACAAGTGCTGAAGCTAAATTTGCCTCCTTTCTCTCCAAAGTTAACCCTGAAGCCCACTGTATCTTTAAGGTAAATGAACAGTGAAATAAAAGACAAATATCTGTCTGTCAGTAACTGCTATTAGGACTGTATACATCCCTCTAGTTAAGATGATTGCAGGTTAGGTTCTTCTCCCTAAATACTCCCAAGTAGCAGGTTCATCCTTTGCCAACTTCCCCAGAAGAGGTCACTAAGCTTTTACAAACAGAGGAGGCAACAATTTCTTCTTTATCCTACAATCTTAGGCCACACAGAGCTTAAGCTCTGCTGCTAAATTCTGGAAAGGGGAAGAAGTGGAGGAAAGCATTTTGGTGTTCAGTAAGGCTAGTCTCCATATCTCTCCCCCGAGGTAGAGTGTAGGTCCTCCCAGGTTGCTGATGAAGGCTGTTTTCCCAGTTACAGAAAAAACAGGCTTCCCCTGAACCGCCCGCAGAGGCTCCCCCATGCTCTGCCGTAGACTGGAGAAAGAGAGCTTGGACCAGTTCTGTGTGGGTACCTTCCACTCCTGCAGCTCCTCATGAGGCTGGACTACCTGAGAAGGTGGGCATCCAACCACTTCCCCAAGGCTACCACAGATTCACAAAGAAGCAGTTTTGGGTGGCCACATCTCATTTCCTCGACGGGCAACTGAGAACACACCCGTGCCATGGTCGATGGCCCACTCCAGCCCTGGGACTTTTGGTCGGTCCTGGATCACTAACATGCAGGAAGCATCTTTCAGAATCCCTCACCCATTTATGAGCACTCAGTTCGCTCCCATTAGAGGCTCTGAAATTCTCTGACAGCGGGCATAACTTTCACCAACATGACAGCTCAGAGACAAACAGGTTTTTAAGGGGAAGTCTTTAATAAGGTACAGAACGAAGCTCTGGCTTCTCACCATCATTGACTCATTGCATCCTCTTAAAACTGGCTTCTCAGTCACAGCAAACAGAATTTACTACCATGTCAAGCTAGAAAAGATTCTTTTCTAGTTCTCTCTGTCTAGAGAGGTTCTGGGCCTGGGATGATACCCCTTTTTTTTTTTAAGTAAAAGATGGTGAAAAACTCAAGGGGCACTCACAGATTGGGAGCCACACTTCGCCCACCAGCTCTCAGCAGCCAGGGAATGGCACCTTCCCAGCCCACATTCCTTACCTCTGAGGGGAGGCAGCCCCCAGAATTATGCAAATTTCCCCATTTCTGTGGGAGGCAGCAGTGTGAGATTAGAAATAGATCTCAGCATTCTTTCGGATCCAAGTCATGATAAAATATATTTGCCTCTGCAAACTTCTGCACTAGATTTGTGGCTACAATTTGCAAGACCCAAGCTGTCAGATACACTCCCACCTCCTTTTAAAAAGAATATAAAAAATACTAGCCAGATCCATAAAATTTAATATTTTGGCCAAATACTGCCTCTCATACTTGCATCAAAAGTTGCTTATGCCTTACCCTGAAGTGACAAAATATCAGAAAACACTCATCTATAAAATTTATATGTATTACAATTAAATGACTGCAATACCAGGAAAGAATATGTAAGGAAAGGGTCCAGATTTCAACAATCCACTGGAAGGAGTTGCCCAGGCAGAGAGGAGAAAGTGACAACCTTAACACACACACACACACACACACACACACACACACACACAC